GTTATAAGGACTTTCGGGGAAAGCCATTTTGAATTTTACAATTCTGACCTCAAAATCGTATTCAGCGACCCAAAAACCTTCTGTACACCAAGTTTCAAAAAAATTGTCCGACTTTTTTCTCTACCCACCGGGGCACAAACAGTGGAATGAACGTGCCAGCGAAGGGGTTAATGGAAGACACGAGAAGAGGGCCGGCTGTTTCTAAAAGGATTGCCAAAGAATTAATTTCCTTTCGTTCACGGACGCGAACTTGCGGTTGAGATTGCTCTTATCACTCGGCTGCATATGCAAGAGCCACTCGTTCCGTCTGTCTGTCAGTGGCCGTTCCTTCTCTCGATTCGTTGTCTCTTTTTAATTAATTTAAGAGACGCGGCAAGAGGGCCTCTCTCGAAGAGGAAGAGTGCAACAAGATAAAATGCAAGCTAGACGCGCTTCCACGATCGTAATCGCAAGCTCTTCGCGCGCGGCACGCTTGCGTGCATGCGTTCTCGCGCGTATTGGCGCGATTGAGGCAGGGGCATGCCAGCGGACACGCTAATTTACTTAAAGGAGATTAGACGAAGAAGCGGAAGAAAGGCGCGGGGGAGATATGCAAATCCGACGCGGAAGAGCGGAGACCGCGGTAAGCTAAAGTGCGGCCCGAAACGACCTGTTGCATCGTCGTCTCGTCGCGCACGACGCGGACGCGCGCGCGAGGGTGCCGCATGAATCCGCGACGCGGCCTACGCCTGCCGATAAGATCGCCGATAGTTAACTTACTGTCGGCCTCTGCACGCACTCAGCACGAGAGTCGCGCAGGAAATAAGCGGCGCAATAAGCACGTCGATAAATACCGCGCCAAACTACTTACTGCTCGACATCGTCGCGCCTCGTGGGATTTGCGCGTCACGTAAAAGGGGACTTTTTCCTCGTTCTCTCCTGCCGAGAGCCGCCCTCCCCCTCCTTATCGTGTCCGTATCGATGCAGGAGATCAAAGTTAGAACGAGACTTGTCCTGAATGTAACGACCCACTTAGAACGAACTCCCGGGAAACGTTAACACTTTGACGGCACTTGTGGAAGTTTCCGCGTCGGCAAACTTCGAAAGTCCGCTTAAACGATATTTGAGGGTGTTTTGCCCATACCTCAAAAATAATACCGCGAACAATTTTGAAAAAATTGCGGATCAATTAATGAAACCATTATATCCTCCTTGTACATATTAAACCCGTACGTATTAAAATTTATCTTTATATAGCTCCCAACGGTATTATAATTAATATGTTCACAAGTAGCGTCACATGTGCGTAAAAGCGGTTATTTTTCTTTCTGTGTCTTCACACGAACAAAATCTACTTTACAAAAATATGTGGCAAAGGATTAAAATACGCGACGAACTCCTTGAGAACGAGGAGTCGTTCTGTCGTTAAAGTAAATATAAGATTATATCATCGATCTATCGATCGACTGTAACATTTTTTGCCGTGAAGTATATAAATCTCATTACGTAGTCGTTTCATACTTTTCGAGTTCGTTTCATACCTCATCAATCGTGTCTAAGTTTCTTGTCAGGTGTGCAATTATCTACACAGACAGGCGCGAGTAATCGAGAAAGAAAGAGAGAGAGACAGAGAGAAAAAAGCGATTCGCATTTTCAATTGAAAAGTGTCTTACTTACTGAATATGTTCTGGACGAGCTGCTGCACAGTGGAATTATGTAAAACTGGTGCGAGCGCAGCAACATTGTGTAACGTTAAACAACGCAAAACATCGACAGTTTCGAGCTACTTATGCGCTTTTCATAGCTGTGTTAGCGGTGTCTCGTTTCACTTAATGTGTATGCTCGCGTTTGCCCCGCCGCGCATTTTTTACCCTCGTCGTCGTCATCGTCGTCGTCGTCGTGGTGACCGCAGCAAAAAGCTTTTACTACCATAGCGTTACGACAGACCCGAGCATAAACACGTGGGATCAATGGCGCGTCTATTAAAATAACGACAGTCGCCAGTGCGCGAACTGTAATTTATGTCGCATAAAGTGGAACAGCCGTGTATGCGTCAAGTGCGCCTCGAATTATATCCGCAATAATATCGATTCTCGAAAATATCGGTTAAGAACTCTTAGAACGGTTAAAACGCTGTTCTGCTTTTTGCCTTTCGCGCGTGTCGTGCAGCTCGAAAGCTTCCAGAAGCGGTAGATCGTCTGTTAAGAACCCGAGTCGAAATTTTGGCCCCATGTTAAATCTTGAATTCTACAGCGCAGTAGAAGCTAAGTTAGCAAAGTAGGTTTAATTCTAATGATACAATTTACTCCTATTTTAATCCTGATGTCCGAAATTTCCCTTTGCACTTTCTTTAACGTCAAAATAGGTTGTGTTGTTTATAAGTTTTAAAATATTAAAATAAGTGTGGAAGTGTGTGAAATAGTGAGACTAAAAGTAGGTTCAAAATTTCGAGTTGGGAAGTGCCAATCCTTATTCGACTTATAAGGTGTTCCACCCACCCGCGGTTAATCAAAGGGGGAAAAGTTAATTGGAATTAATATATTTAAAAATTGAGGGAGAATAAAGGATAGAGAAGACGGTTCGTGTATGCATCTAATCGTAAGAGAAATCCGACTTATAAAATTTTTCGCGAGGTGAATGTACTGATCTCCGGACGGTTGAGAACGCTGCGAGAGAATATTATATAAAAGTCAATCGTAAAGAGAATTTTTTTGCGTAATTAACACAAATTAAAGATAGTCTGTTTGCTCTAAAAGAGTAAAGATAAATTAATTGAATATCATTAATAGTTATAAACCGGGATAAATACTTGATAAACAAGAAATTTCATAAAATGCAAATGCATTGATGTCCGAACATCTGTTTTACATAATGAATTTTTCATAGAGTTAACAAATCAACTTATACTTAACACTTTACATTTTAACTAGGAAACGATCTCATGTATTCTTATAATCCAGAAGAGCTTAATTTAGCCTTATGAATTCATTATTTCTTACTGTGAGAAAAGTATCCAGATATCCTCAACTCTTTTAGAGCCTTTTTAAAATGTATGATGAGTATATTTCAAGGCTATTATGACTATTGAGACTATTATATAAATGAAGAAAATATTATCTGTTGAAGATGACCATCGCTAAAAAAAACGATCACTCAACTAAATAGTCGCTTTCCTTAGCAACAGAATGATATTTTTCTTTCTGTATCCATAATTATTTCTATGTTACATCTCTTATCCAATGTTCCCATTTTCTGCATCACTTCTCTTAACCCATTAAGGCCCAAGAGAAAACCGCTAAGGATAGGTTTTCAAAAACCATCTAAATTAAGGCAAAACGTCGAAATTTGTTAAAAAGTGAAAAAAAAATTTGTGTTAGATTTCAAAATTTAAGATGGCGGACCAATATGTCGGCCCGAAAATTTGAAATTTTGACCTATTTGAGTGAAAATCCGTATAGGATTTTGGGTTCACTGAATATGAATATGCACTTATTTTTTCAAAATTTTTCAAAACGTACTTTCATTGAAATAAATAAAAATTAAAAATTTTTGGCCGCCATATTGATTTTTAAAGTCAAAAACCATTTTTCTTCTACAGTCTGCTAAAGTATGATGTTTAGCCCTAAAACAAACACCTTCGAAAGGTAGCTTATAATTTGGTTAGATTTTTCCCCAAATAACAAAACCATGTCAAATTTTCACATTTTTTGGCGGCCATATTGGATCCACCATTACGAATTTTGAAAAAATAAGTGCATACTTAACGAACCCCAAACCCCCTCCATACGGATTTCACTCAAATAGGTCAAAATTTCAAATTTTCGGGCCGACATATTGATCCGCCATCTTGAATTTTGAAATTCAACACGAATTTTTTTCACTTTTTACAAATTTCGACGTTTTGCCCTAATTTAGACGGTTTTTGAAAGCCTTTATCCTTAGCGGTTTTCTCTTGGGTCTTAATGAGTTAATTTATGCCATAAAATACAATTACTTGTACGTAAACGATGGATTTTGTGGCCTAGAAAGCTTTCCCTAAAACTAATCAATCGCCGTTCTCTTTTACCTCGGAAACAAATTTCCAAAGGGAAAAGGAGAGAAGCTTCGGCGATGAAGACTTTGGCGACTCCGGCCGAGTTCTTCGCGTCGAGGCGTAATATCCGTAAATCGTGAAATGGAACGAATTACAGGCGACAAAACGATTAACAATAATGACTTCCACGGGTTAAGGGCGGCAATCACCGCGTGCGTACTTTCACGCGTGCCGATACACGACGATGAAGTTTTATGAGGCCGATGGTATTTCCAATCGCAATTTGAGCGCGCGCTCAAATGCGAACGGTATCGCGGGCGGAAAAAATGATTCCAAATATAACTTCGTGTTCCCAGGCGATCTAGGCGATCCAAGCCCCGGGGCCCCGTATGTGTGTGCGAGGCTCTTTGCGCGAGCAACAATCTTGCCGGCGCACACGGCCATTATTACGCTGAAATTAGAAGGCTGTCAGTCATCGCGCGCGACGGTCTTGCTGAAACCTCATTATACTCCCCGCCTTCGGATTGGATCGGAGGAAGCTTAGAACGCGGTCCGAATCGGAGACGGTCGTGGATAATCCGCGAAAAATTCCGACGTATGTAAAACCGTTGCCGCGGTGCAAAGGAGTGAAACCTTTTACGGGTCGCCAGGAGCATTCCATGAGGAATGCAGCGACGACGGACTCTCTCGCGCGTGGAGATTCTCGCGTGCGAGAAGCCCTCGCACGATAGCGAGTTCTAAGTATGCCTGTTTTATTCTCAAGCTCTGGAATGACGTTATTAAAAAAATTGAGTAAAGAGAGCCGAGCCCCGGATCAGATGAATTTCGTAACGCGCTCGTGGATCCTCGTTGGGCCCTTAAGTCCTGCTATCGATACATACGCATCTCGGCGTCCTCGTTAATCTCGGGCTGCTTACGCGCGCTCTCTGAATTAGCATAATTGCGTCACGCGGCTGTATTACTTTACTAACACTTTGTTTCCTTTCAGGAGAAGCCATTCACCTCGCCCGAGACTTCGGCTACGTGTGCGAGACCGAGTTCCCCGCGAAGCAGGTCGCCGAGTATCTCAGTCGGCAGCATTGCGAGCCGCAGGATTCTTATAGGAGGAAAGAACTTCTTCATGCCACCAAGTGAGTATACAGTGTGACGTTAATCATACGTTGATGAAAAGAGAAAAGAACGAAACACGTTCTCTTGTTGTCGTGTCAAGATTCGTCTCGTGGAGAAAGTCGAGTAATCGATTCTGAAACTCTTCGCTATTCCCTTTCAGACAAATCACCAAAGAGCTGATGGACCTTCTGAACCAGGACCGATCGCCGCTTTGCAATACGCGACCGCAACACATCCTCGATCCAAGTATACAGAGACATCTCACTCATTTCTCGCTCATATCACACGGATTCGGAAGTCCCGCGATCGTGGCCGCTTTAACGGCTATACAGGTAATGCAACGAAGAAAAATACCTTATTTTTTATTCTAAAAAATATATATATCCAATTTACTTTTTATTCTATAAAAAAAAAAAAAAA